AGCCCCAGATGCTGGCCTCCAGCAGTGATGAATGGCACCGCTGTCCCCCTAAGCAGAAAAACCCCTTCCTGAAAGGGATTCTACCAGAGGTAACAGCAGCCACAGATTTTAGAGAAAGATCTTGGAAAAGCTCAGGCTTCACCTGGCTATGGCAATCTCTACAGGAAGAAAAAAAAAAAAAAAAAAAAAAAAAAAAAAAAAAAAAAAAAAACTAAAACATCATCATCAACAAAAACTAACCAAGGTGGGGTTAGAGATTTACCAAGATGGCAAATTCTACAGTATTCCTTCCGGAACCGTTAAGATTCAGATCTGAAGAGTAAAGTGGAGAGGTTATTATTCCTGAGAGTGGGGGAGAGGAAAAAAAATAAGCACATGATTCAGGCTGAAATAGACCTCAGCCCAGTAACTTGCTGCTTCTACCGGGAAAAAGCATAAACACTTTGAGCCTTAGTTCATCGGTCAAAGACAGAATAATCCTAACGTGTTTACACAGAGAGGCAGCATATACGTTCTTCCTGTCATTCTTAACATTTGTAATCCTAGTATTCGGTGTTCAGGTTAAAACCAGTAGATAGCACCTCGCCTGCCGTCAGCACACTTAAAACACTGCAGTGGGTGAATGTGTAAAGAAGCCCCTGAACAGGGTGCTCTGCCTGTTCCGTATTCAGAGAGCTTTTCTGCAGAGCTGAACCCAGAAATATTTATCTGCGTTGTATTTCCACACACAGTGGTGCAACAAGTATCTTAGATGTATGCTGATAAAGGAAACAATGGAATCGGGAAAATGTCTGTCTCCCTATTTGCTACGTTGTCTCAGAATCTGTAAAATACCTTCCCTATTGAAACCCAAGGTGGTTCATTCTCCCAGCCCCGGCCTGTTCTCCTGCAATTATCTCACTAGCCTCAGGCTACCATCCTAAAGGGGAGATTGCAGCCTCCGCCTGTTTAGACCAGGACTGCGGGGACAGCATTATCAACTGGAATCCACACATTTTGGGACTACAGTCTCAGGCTTTTACAGGATTCTGGGCTCCATCTAAGATTTTCCCTCCTTTATATCTAGATACAATGATTCATCCTCTAGTCAGCTTTCTCATAACATGTAAGTCAGGAGAGAGGGGCTCTCTCAGAAGACAGGGAGGACAACATCAAATTCCTTTTGACATTGCAACCAGGGCTGCTGGGGAAATATTTATACAACCCCTTCCCAAGATTACATGTCTATGCCAACCAGACATCCACAGGAGTCTCCTCAAAGCAAAGACTTTCTGCTTAAAGTGGTTGCTTGTTAGGTTGAGGAGGATAGAACAGCAGCCATGGCCCTGTCTGGACTTTAATGCCCCTCATTGATATGGGAGTTACCTAAGGCCTGAGGGGGTAGATCCTAGAAATGGGTCCTAGAAGAGGCTGAATCCCAACTCGGTCTCAAAGTCCAGAATTAACAGAAACAAAACCAAAAACATGTGGTTCAGTAGGATGGAGAGGGAGCCCAAAGAGACACAGAAAGTCCACTTCCCAAAATAATCTCTTTCCATATCCAAGTGATGTGAATGTCCCATACAAAAGCTGCATGCACATTGTGAAAAGTGACAGTCACATTCTGTTTTGTCTATGGCTCAAACAAGTAAAACTTGTTGATGGTCAGCAATTTAAATGCTCCAACTGAAATTCCAGGTGATCATATTTGTGGAATAATAGAAGATGCAAAATGTCTTCATTGAAAAGTAGGCTGCCCTTGGGACCTATCTAAACCCTCCACCCCCTACCCCCACGGCTCGTGTGTGAGTGTGTGTGTGTGTGTGTGTGTGTGTGTGTGAGAGAGAGAGAGAGAGAGAGAGAGAGAGAGAGAGAGATAGAGAGAGAGAGAGATGAAGCAGTGAAGTCTCATTTAACATTCACTTTTGTTTGCACAATGCTCTTATTTAGGCCATGTTAGACTGACTCCTTGAATCACTCCAATGTAACCTCATCAAACTAAATGTCCTCTCCATTAAAGTTGGTGTGTGGGGGGACAATTTTACTTCCAATGGCAACATGGTTTAGTTGTGTTGATATTGGTAGCCAGGTCTCCAGAAATGCTGTGACTTTCTGTGGCTGACACTTGATGTGTCAATGAGGACTTTGCATCAATTAATCCTTAGTATCTGTTGCCCACAGGTCAAATGGCCATACCATTTAAAGCTGCATACAGAACACTGTAAATCATAATATGTGAAGTCAGCCTTTCTAAGGGAAAGGGGTTTTTGAAGATTCTGGGTAATTTCAACTTGTAAAATAAAAGTTGGGGTACACAGAATTTATGCTCTTGCTACAGGAGTGGAGACTACTCTGTTTCACTTGGCTGCTTTGGGGAGGTGATTTCTCCTCCTTGAAGTCTGAAGCCGCCTGATTTGAAGTTATTTTTGCCACTGGAGTATTTGTTGCCATTGTACATATAACGTGGGATACATGAGGTATAGAACACGGTTCTTTGTGACCTCTTCAGATGTCCTCAACTTTTTAGGAGAAACAACTTAGAAATGTGGGATTTACTGTCATCTTCCAGTATGTTCTGACCTTCAGTACTTCCAAACAGTAAAGACATTCCTCTTGGCCCACATTCAAAACATTGCTGCATGGACAGGCTGGTATTTCAACATCTTGTCTATGGACAGCAACAATGGCTGCCACCCCTTAGTCCCACGTCCCAGTACTAACCTGGTGCCTACATGATATGATGAAAGCAAGAGATGGCCACGTTCTTTCACTGTGTGGGCCTCAGAATCACAGCTAAGCGAATCACAGTCCTTTTCACCAGTGCAGAGAGTACAAGGTGAGCATCCTATTACCAGATCAGATCCTCCTATGCTCTGTAATGGAGAGTTGCAGAATGAATGAAAACAGGCAGTTTTACGCTGGCCCTGTCTTTTCATTGTGGGTATGGATGAGAAAAGTCACACCTGCTTAAAGACAAAGAATCAAGAATCCTTTCTCTTTGTTCTTTCTTTGAGGCAGATGTCATTCTATGTGTCCTAAGTTGCCCTTGAACTCACAGTCCTCCTGCCCATCTCTCTCCACGTGTTGGGGTGATAGGTGTGCAGACTCATGCCTAGCGATCCTTTGCTTTCTGTGTTCCTGGTTTCATTAAAGTATTTGAGGAATGAAAACTGCTGCCTTTCAAGATGAATGGCCTAAGTTGGGGGACAATGTTGGTGTGATTCAATTGAACTGATGTATATTGCAGGTGCAGGGTGTTCTGGGAAACACCACTCACTACAGCTGGCAAATAACACTGTACCTTAGAGATTTGAATCATGGCCTGTAACCACGTAGTCTGTTTTTAATCTTCTGATTCAGGAAGTTGTAGAAAAGCAACAACCTAGTGTTTTGGTTCTGTGTGACAAGTCTATGACAGCTCAGAGGCCTCTATTTTCAGTGGGACTGTGGTATCTCATAGGGGGAGATTACTGACCCTCATCTCCACTAGCAGGCCTGATACAAAGTTTTCACTCTTTTTATCTGTGATGCGTTCCATTGGAACAGCAGGAGGAAGTGGTCTTGAAAATCAGGATAGGTCCTCTGAATCTCTCAGTGTTCTTCATTAGAACTGATTGTATTGCCTGCCATGTATGTTTTTCCCACATCCCTCTTTTTAGATGTGTACATGAATTGTGTGTTGAGCCACTGTGCATGAGCTGGGTTCTAGAAGGAGCAAGTGTCCTGTGTGTCAGGTCTCGACCCTGTATCACATGCTCTTGAACTGTTTTGTCCACCACCCACCTCACAGTGTTCTAGTGGCTGGAGACTTGAGGCCCTTCCTTCTGCTATTAGAACCCATCAGGCCTCTGTAGACAGGATGCTGTGGAGTTCAAAGACCTATTGCAAATACTTGTGCATGTGTACTTAAGCAAACCATACAGATTTCACTGTTTCTGCAACTGATGGGATTCACTCCTATGCCTGCTTTTACAAGTGAGGGCCGGGCTTTGGTGGCACATGCCTTTAATCCCAGCTCTAGGTAGGCAGAGA